GGGCACGGGGCAACCCGCCGACGCAACTGCCCGAGTTGCCCACGACAAAGAAGCCCCATGTCTCGGGTCACCCAGGCCAGCCCAGAAGTCGGAAGCTCCTTCGGCCACGCCCACGGCCGCGCACCTGCCAGCATCGCCCCCGATCGAATCAGAGCACGACGCGATGCTAGCCGCCATCGCCCCCAGGTTGGAGGGGCAGGGGCAGGCAGCCATGCGCCAGCTCGTTAAGGATACGCGTCGTCGGCAACGCCCTTCCGGAGCTCATGGGCTCATCTGCCCCCGGATCGCGCTGAGCGGCCCGAGGAACGACCTTCGGACAACTAGCAATCGCACCTGGCGGCACATGAGAACCGACAGCTGGTTCCCCAAGGGGTGCTCACAGGTCAGGGGCCGCGCGGTGGGGCCATGCAGCTGGGCGCTTTGGCCCTGTCGTTAGCGGCCCATGCTGCGACCCCGTCCCTATCGACACCCATGCGAGTGACCAGGATCTGCCTCTGTTTCGCCTTGTTCTCGTTGATGGGGATGGCGCCCCCCTCGTAGCTCTGCCACATCTGCGTCTGCATCGGGCGCGGCGTTCCCACGAGCGGAGATGCCGCCCGCCAGTCGAACGCCCCATCGTCATCGAAATCGCCGGTGCAAGTACTCCGCGGTCGCGGGGGGCATCCCCGGCAAGCGGAGCAGCAACCGCGGCGACGACGAGTCGGCCCCGCGTCCACTCGCGCAAAGGAGGCAGATGTGCCCCCGACGGCTTCGTCATCAACGCCGCGCGGCGGGGGGTGGAGGGCGGGGGCGGGGGCGCGGCGCGCCCAGCCCATGGGCAAAACAATCGTGGCGAGCCAGACCTCCTTGGCAGCCACCCCAAGGACGTGGCCAGGCACGGGCGCGCGCGCAGTCGTGTAGCCCATGCAGGGAGCGGGTAGGCGGCGCATGAAAGAGGCGCCCTGCTGGTCACTTCCACTCCACACAAAGACCGCCTCCGGCCCGAGCAAGATGCCGACCCACGCCGGCGATGGGGTCTAGTGCAACGGCACCCCCAGTCAGTTGGCGGAGGTTGGCGTTCGCGGGCACCGCGTTGGGAATCAGCCGAGCGACTCTCGACGCCCCTCTCAGCTGGGGTGCCAGGCATGGCGACCGCAGACAGGCCGCCGGTCAACTCGCGGCGGGGGGCCTGGAGGATCTGCTCCGACAGGATAGGCGTCGGCAGGCGAGGTCGACTGGCTCGGCAGCAACGACCCCCCAGTCCTCGACCCACCCCACGGCAGCTCCTGCAGGCCGGGCCCAACGTAGTCCAGGTCATCCAAGCGGCCCATGTCCTCGGCCTTGGAGGTGCCAGGCACGAACTCTTCGAAGTTGAGCGCCACCGCCCTGCAGTCCTCACCCGAATAGTAGCTCGTCCTGCTCTTCATCAAGTCCCGCGGCCAACAGGGCGTCTCCACCCCGGCCAGCGCGCCGCCCGCGCGCCGCCAGATCGCCCCCCCGATCACGCGCAAGCTCGCCAGCTGGACTTGAGAGAGAGGGGCCCCGCAGCAACACGGCGCTCGCTGCTCGGGTGGCCTGGAGGTGCAAGTAGTTGAAGCCCACGACGCCGATGAAGGTCCAGACTTCCACGGCGATACCCTGGGCCTGCTGTCTCTGCTCGGCGGCCTAATTCCTGACGTTGATGGGGGGGCCCTGGCCATTCCACAGACCTTTCCCCATGACTTCCTGTCCCCAAGCGAAACGCGGCGCCGGCGCCCTTGCCGGTGGAGGAAACACGTCTCGACCCACGCTAACCTCCAGCGATTGCGGCGCGACGCCTGCACGGAACGAACTCGTGAAATCTCCCATCTCACTAAGTATCCTGCGCGCGCTGGAGAGGACCCCCAACCCAATCTCAACCGTCGCCATCTCGCAGGGCCCGCCCCTGCACGCCCGCGAAGCAACGTTGGCCGCGCACTGACTAAGCGTCGGGATGGCCGCCGCGCGGCGCCGCGACGGTGGCCGCCAGCCCGGGCAGGGCCCCCCCCGGCGTCGGCCCTTCCAGGCCAGGCTGCGCCGGCAGCCGGCGGCCAGGGGGTGGTCGAAGACATATTCGTTCACGTAGAGCAGCACCGTCTGCGGGGGCGCCGACGCCGGCGATCGGCAACGCTCCAGGACTCAGGGGTCCGCCATCGGGGCGGGCGCGCGGGCCAGCGCCCCCATCCCGGCCGAACCCCTAGCCGCAGACCCCGAATCGGCCCCGAGGCTGGGTCACGCGGACCACGGCCGCCTGGAGGCCACTCGCGATCTCCTCGTCCTCGACCGACAAGCTCAGGCCGCCGCTGTCGGGCGCCAACAGCTCGCACCATTTCATGAGACGTCAATGGCCATCTCGAATGGTCGTCTGCAGCGTCTGAATCACTGAGGAGATGTAGTCAAGCGAGTGGATCGGCTTCCCCATCGCGATGTTCACGGCGCACTCGCACAACACCCGCAGCTCGCGACACCAGTCTTCTCCGATCTCCCTAGTGAGACACGCGGGGCGCAGCGCGCGAAGGAGAAACTCCTCCGCCGCTGCCTTGAACTGATCAGAACATGAGTCGTCGTGATCGACATACTGGGCCATATTATGTATCTCCTTCTCGGCAAGGCGACCAGGCAGTTTGACTGCTGTCTCCATGTCGGCGAACCGCCGCGCGGCAACGGAACGCTCACCTACCACGCGATCATCATCACTATCGGGACGATCAACGTCCTCCTTGTGGCGCAGGTACCCCGCAAACGCTCGTTGGACAGCCTTCTCGTCGGAGTTGCCGGCCTGACCCTCCCTAGGCGCCCTGTCCGCGGCGACGCTCGGCGCCTGGCCCGCGATGTGCGGCTGGGCCACCTCGTCGAGCCTCTGCAACTTCTTGACCGGGGGTTTGGCCGACAGGTCCGACGGCCAGCGGGCGCCAGGAGCAGCGGCGGCCAGCATGCGCGTCTCCGCAAGCTTCGAGCACAGCCTGCCAGGACGCTTCTGGTAGCGGTCCTTCCCCTCCGCCGTCTTCGGCCTTATCCTCGTGCGCCTGGCAATCGCGGTCCAGTCCCTGGAAGGCCGCGTGGTCGCCCTCGTCATCGTCGCCTATATCAGCGAAGGCTCTGGTTTCGTGGTCCGCGGCCGCCGGGCGCTTGCGCGCGGGGTTCTCAGTCTTGCGGCTGGCGGGGGGGCCTAGGGCGGAGCGATCCTCGTCTGCCCCGAGTGAAGCCGCCTGTGCGACGCCAGGCGGGATGGCGGGGCACTCCTCGTTATTGCGGAGCATCTCCGTACAAAAATCTACTGCCTCGTCCACCAAAAGCTGGTGTGGCATACGGGCGTGCAACTCCCAGATCCCAGCCCACGGCGCTCTACACGCGCACTGCGACACAGGCCCGCTGCACATGTGCTGGGAAAAACTTGTCGCCCTATCGCCAGTGCGAGCCGAGCCGCAAAGACGAGTACGGCTCGATCGCGCCGAAGTACTCCACCTCATACGCGGTGCCTCCCGCGTTCTCTGTGACAAGCCGACGCACCACCCGAAGCGTGGGGCCGCCATCGCTCTCGTCGTCATGTGTCACTGATGGCAGGAGCAGCGGCCAGGCCCCATGGGCCCCATGAGCCTACGGCTGACCTGGACCCTCGGCCGGGATCACGGCATCGGGAAGGTGTGCGGCTCGCAGACCTCAAGCTTTCTCGCCCCAGCCCAGCCTCTCCTGGGGCAACAACCGCTCGAGCCGCACACCTACGGAACGAGGCGGACGCGCACTGCCAAAGAGGCCCAAACAAACCCCCAACACCTTAGGTGTTGTATCACGCGGCGATGATCCGTATGACGATGGTGACGATGATGATGATGATGATGGTGGTAGTAGGTGGTGGTGATGATGATGATGATGATGATGATGCTGATGATGATGATGATGATGATGATGATGATGATGATGATGATGATGATGACTAAGAATCTGAAGATGAAGATGCAGATGATCATGACAAAAATGGTGATGGTGATAATGATGCTGATGATGATGCCGATGATGATGCTGGTGGTGGTGATAGTAATGATGGTGATGATGCTGCTGATGATGATGGTGAGTATGATGATGATGATGATGATGATGCTGCTGCTGCTGCTGATGATGATGATGATGACTAAGAATCTGAAGATGAAGATGCAGATGATCATGACAAAAATGGTGATGGTGATAATGATGCTGATGATGATGCCGATGATGATGCTGGTGATAGTAATGATGGTGATGATGCTGCTGATGATGATGAAGATGCAGATGATCATGACAAAAATGGTGATGGTGATAATGATGCTGATGATGATGCCGATGATGATGCTGGTGATAGTAATGATGGTGATGATGCTGCTGATGATGATGGTGATGATGATGATGATGATGATGATGATGATGCTGCTACTGATGATGATGCTGCTGCTGATGATGATGATGGTGGTGGTGGTGGTGTGGAGGGAGCGGGGGGAGAGAAGAAGGATGAGGAGGAGACGCGCGGCGCTGCACATTCAAAACGAGGCACCAACACACAAGAAAGTTGCGAAAGAACTGGCTCTGGAAGGGCCCAGCTCCTAGAAGCCTCCCAAGTGAGGTCCGAGTAGATAAGGCTGGAGGCTCGCACCGCATTGCCGAAGCATCGGCGATGCATCGGCGGGGACGGCAATGCATCTGGACCGTCGGCGCGGAGAAAATCGGGTTCCACATCGAGCCGCATCGGCGATGCATCGGCGATGCGGCGCGAGCCACCGACCCACCTACTTCGTGCCCGTATGGGAGGCTTCGTCTCCTCGTGCCGAAAGAGCCGGGGCCACCTGGGCGACGAGAGGAGACGGGTCTCACGCGAGATGGCACAGCGGCCTCACGCCGCGGCTGACGCAAGCGCGACAGCGCGGCGCGCCCCGCTGGAAACGAGGGCGCCCACGCGCGACTTTTTTCGCGGGCAGCCTGCGCGCCCATCCATGTATGAGCAGACGCCCCCCCGGGTCTCTTCCGCCGCTCAC